TGTTGTCCCAGCAGATAAAGCCCCAAACAACATCGTTTTTGTGTATAAATCACATTACATAAACTGTTTGATAAATGAATTAGGTATTGACAATTCACTCTTTCATCTTGCAATAGTATTAAAACATTTGACTTTTCTATATTTTACACAAGTATTCCCCATTTCAAATTAAAAAACAAATTGAAATAGTTGGTCTTGCTTTGTTTCATAAAAAAGAATGGCCAACGTAGATACAAGTATCTTGTGTTAGGGAGGGATAAATCCTACTTCCTAAAAAATCACTCTGATTCAAACAAAAAATTCTCTGAAACTGACATTATCATGATGCTTGATTTCTTGATTGACAACATATTTGTTACGTTTGGAGGACATGTTTTTCAACAAACAATTGGCATTCCCATGGGAACCAACTGTGCCCCTCTTCTTGCGGACTTGTTCCCTTATTCATATGAGGCTGATTTCATGTATACAAGAACTTCTAAGGAAGAAAGAAAAGAAGTTAGCAGTATCCTTTAACTTTACTTTCCGCTATATAGAGGATGTTCTCTCACTAAATAATTCAAAATTTGATGACTGTGAAGTCATCGAACTTGAGATAAAGGATACAACAGATACAGTTAAGTCTGCCTCATATGACACAATGAGGGTCAGCTGAAAACAAAGCTTTACGACAAAAGAGATGATATTAGCTTCCCAATTGTGAACTTTTCATTTCTATGTAGCAACATTCCAGCAGCGCCTGCATACGGAGTATATATCTCCCAATTGATACAATATTCCCTGGCTTGTATTTCCTATCATAATTTCCTTGACAGAGGGTAGCTACTCAAAGGAAGCTATTAAACCAAGAGTTCCAAATGGTGAAGTTAAAATCATTCCTTCGTAAATTTTACGGACACCATCACGAGTTGGTTGACCGTTATTGAATATCCATTTTACAAAGAAAGCTTATGTTCCTTTATAGTTTATTTTCCACTTATGAGTTTGAATGTCCCTCTAGTATCTTTCGCCTCTCTTATAGCAATAGGTCAATGATATTTGGTGTATATAATGATTGTAAGGTGTACATGTCTGTCTGGCTTGATTTATAGGACCTTGACCTCATTTTCATAGAACATTTATTATATTCTGTTTACGTGATACTTGTATTAAAACCTTCATATTACAGACTTTCAACAGGAATTCAATGATAAGTAGAACAGGCGAGACATTTCAGTATGTGCACTCTTGTTTAAAAGAAACAAGAACAGATAGAGAGAAACACAATAATAGGCAAATATGTTCAGCACAATTAAATCTATTAATGTGATAAGATGACTAAAATTATCTATCGACTATTAAAAGGAGTTACTTCCCCAGAATGATGATGTTTACAAGTCTTTTACATTTTTGTTAAAAACTGTAGTGGATAGAGGGAAACTTTTTAAAAAATCTTGAAAATCTGCAAAATAAGTTCTACAGGTTAGACAATATGGCCAAATAGTTGAGATTGCTTTTATGATTTATTGTCCGGATAATAATTTTTGACTAATTATGGTCGAGCCTGCAAAATCTGTCGTAGAAAGTGAGACATTGGGATAGCAATCCTGCGGCAGCATTGGCATTGACTAACATATTAAAAGCTTAATATTTCAGGAAGTAGGATTGTACATGTCCAACTGGCAGGTGTCATCTGACCATGACCTCATTTTCATGGTTCAGTGGTAAAAGTTTTTGTATTTTGGTCTGTTTTTCTTATACTGTATGAAATAAGTCAACTATATTTTTTTTATGGAATGATTGTAAGGTGTAAATGTGTCTGGCAGGTATGATCTGAACTTGGCCCCATTTTCATGTTTAATTGGTCAATGTTTGCTGGTTAAGTTTGTTTCTTAAAATACTATAAGCATTAGGCCAACGGGTAAATGTCTATCTGGCAGGGTTCATCTGACCTTGACTTGATTTTCATGGTTCATTGGTCTATATAAAGTTTTCATGGTTTGTTCTGTTTCTTGTATACTATAAGCAATGATTGTAAGGTGTACATATATTTCTGGCTTGGTTTATCTGACCTGACCTCAATTTCTTGGATCATGTTTATGTTTATGTGATACTTTTAGTAAAACTTTATATTAAGAACTATCAAACATAAAATCAATGGTCAGTAAAGCAGTCAGACATTTCAGTGTGTGCACTATGGTTATAATTTTGCCAATAATCTCAAAAACTTTAATAGGTATAAACTATAATTACATACTTCATCACATCTCCGTCATTACAGTTGAACGGACATGCTTGGTCATCTCATCAATTTCCACAAACTGCAATGTTTAGCAACTTATTGTTTGGCTGAACGACATTTTACTTCATGAAGTCATAAACTAACTCAAAACTGTACAGTCAGAATAAACGTCCGCGTCCGCATTCACTCCAAAACCCATTGCAATACAGCTGTTGTAGATATAGGAGAATTTTTCAGACTGACATCTGAGGACCCTGTATTTGGGTGTTGGGTATGGGACTTAACAACCCTGAACAGACTTTTTGTAATCATTAAGCACTACGTCTGCAACTCATCTACCAGTACTACACCAATGTGGTTAGCTCGCTGCCCAGCTGATCAACCCAGCTCTGAAAATTGCCGTTGTGAAGAGCAGTAAACAAAACAGCAAAGAAACAAAACAATTCATCAAAAACCAAAATGACTGCCTCCTTCTTGACCAACTTTTCTACAACAACAAAATATTCAAACCTTACCAAATGCACCAATCCAACCTTGTGTGGACGCCTTTATAGCCAGTCAAGTAAAAATGGTCATCAATACCATACTACAAATATGCTGATAGATAAGATTTACAAATAAGCTAATATAGCTGAATGCAATATAGTTAAAAATCAAAAATCGAAATGGGATTTTTTAAAAAGGCTTGCAATTTGGGCCGTTTGCAGCCTCTTGTTCTTTATTCCCAATACTTTTTACTTAGCATATCCTTCCAATAACGGTATACTGATGAAATTATTTATGATAAGTAAACTTCAAAATAATTGATGATATTGTGTTTTATTTTCTCCTCCATTTCTAGTTATCATTCATGAATGCCTATAATTTAACTTGCAGAAGGACTGCATTTCCATAATTATTCGTGGGATACCAATCTTCATTGATTTCGTGGACAATGGTGAACCACGAAATTAGATGTTCAACACAGTACAAATTTTCTAAAGCTTGTATGCGCAGCCTTTGCCAAAACCATGAAATCAAAAACGCATAAAATACAATTTTCATCATTTCACAAAAAATAAATGAATCCACTGTAAATGCAGAAATTGAAGTGATAATTAGGAATGCTTCAACCATACTTGTTATGTACTGTAAAATCAGAATTTATTGCATTCTTTTATTATAGTGGTTTTTGTCTCGCCTTGACGGAGTCAAAAAGCGAGACATAGGTATGCTGTTTCCGGCATCGGCAGCGTCAACAATGTATTAGTTTGTGATTAGGTCTAGTTCATGGTGAACCACTAGTAGTAGGTCAATGATATTTGGGATGCACTTGTATTAGCATTGGCATATCGCATTACCATGGAGATTATTTGTCCCCGCCCCCTCAGTCAAGGTCTATTGACTATGAAACTTTTCATAGTTAACATGTATTAGTTTGTGATTAGGTCAATTTTTGGGGAACCACTAGTGGTAGGTCAATGATATTTAGTATGCAGTTGTATAAGCATTGGCATATCTCATTTCCATGGAGATTATTTGGCTCCACCCCTTTAGTCATGGTCTATAGACTGAAAATTTTGCTACGTTAACATGTATTAATTTGTGATTAGGTCAGTTCAAGGGGAACCATTAGTGATAGGCCAATGTTAATTGGTGTTCAGTTGTATAAGCATTAGCGCATCTCATTTCCATGGAGAATATTTGGCCCCGCCCCCTCAGTCATGGTCTATTTACTTTGAAAATTTTGCTTAGTTTACATGTATTAGTTTGTGATTAGATCAGTTTAAGATGAACTGCTAATGTTAAGTCAATGATATTTGGTATGCAAATTTATTGGCATTTGCAAATATCATTTCCATGGAGATTATATAGCCCCACCCCTGATCATGGTTCATTGACTTTGAAACTTTTACATAGTTTACAAGTTAATGTTTGTGTTTAGGTTTGTTTAAAGGGAACGACTTATAATAAGTCAATGGTATTTGGTATGCAGTTGTATTAGCATTGGCACATCTCATTCCATGGAGATTGTTTAGCCATGTACCTTCAGTCATGGTTCATCGACTTTGAATATTTGCATAACTAACATGTTAAAGTATTGCTATTTTAATTTTAACATTTGCATTATCAAAATTACAAAAAGGCGAGACATATCTCTGTGATAACAGTTTATTGAATATTGAACAAAAATGCAAGTTTAATTATTGCGATTTCAGAAAATTCTACATACAGATATATGCACCAGATATCAGAATGCAAGTTCTTGTTATTGCGATACTCATGAAGTCGCATTATTCGCATAAATAGAAACCTCACAACAATTTATGAATTTACAGTAATCTGTGTGCTGCTGTACAGAATGTTATTGCTCAGAAAAATGTATTTCACATTAATACGACATTCTATTGTTCAGAAAAATGTATTTCACATTAATACGACATTCTATTGTTCAGACAATTGTATACCATATTGACACAGCATTCTATAGTTTAGACAATTGTATACCATATTGACAATTGTATACCATATTGATGCAGCATTCTATAGTTCAGACAGTTGTATACTATATTGACGCAGCATTCTATAGTTCAGCCAATTTTTACCATATTGACGCAGCATTCTATAGTTCAGACAATTGTATACCATATTGACGCAGTATTCTATAGTTCAGACAATTGTATACCATATTGACGCAGCATTCTATTGTTCAGATATTTGTATACCACATTCACAAAGCAGCAGGGGACTTTAAGCTAAGCTGTAGCAATGTTGTAACAGTTGTAAAATCTTTTTACAGGTAATGAGAAGTTAACTCCCTTGAAAGATTCTGAAAGGACACTTAAAAAAAGTACCTTGAAAGGTTCGATGAATGAGGAGATACTCACCTTGAAAGGTTCTATGAAATTCAGTAAAATGAACGCTAAAATTACTGAATCTGCTTATAAAAAAATTCATGGTACAGTATAATTTATCTAACAAAAGTAGTATTACTTAAGGCGACGCTAGGGGCCGTCTTGACCTTGTTGTAGGGTATGAATGATTCGTTCATTGTTGAAGACCCTACATCAACTGTCAAGATGAAGAACAGGAATAAAACCCTGTTCATTGATAATTTTCTATGTTTTCTATGTATTGTGTGCGATTTTGTCCCATGTACATTTATTCCATATCCTTTCACTTTCTATTAAACTTGCAAAACACAATTAAATAGTATTGTCCATTTGACTTCTATATATTTGCAGAAAAAAATTCTTAAAAAACCATTTTTTCATATTTAATATTTTTTTCCTTGAATGTTGATACAAGTATATGATATATACGAACTCTGACTATTTATTTCATAATTTTTGGTCTATAATTAAAAAAGTTTCTCATTAGGTCTCTATGTTAATTTTGTTTTTTGAAGTGTTGATTACCTGATGGAGTAAGTATAAATAGTGTAATGGCCTCCCAATCAAAACAAAAACAAAATACATGTGCTTTGAATGCTGAAACAATTACCATTCAATTATTTTTCAAAGAGTTATGCCCCTTGGAAATTTTTATGAAATGAAAAATTGCATTGTAAGCAATCTCATCTCTGTACGATTTTTGCAAGATTTTTATCAAGTTTATATCAAAGATTTATATGAGCTATGTGTTAGGCGGTTTGAGAAAAAATGGAAAATTACAAAAATACCAAACTCCAAAACAGAAAGTCCCTAATCAAATGGCAAAATCAAAAGCTCAAACAATTCAAACGAATAGAAAACAACTGTCATATTCCTCACTTGGTACAGGCATTTTCTTATGTAGAAATGGTGGATTAAACCTGGTTTTAAAGCTAGCTAAACCTCTCACTTGTATGACAGTTGCATAAAATTCAATTATATTGACAACAATGTGTAAACAAAATTAAGACACAATAGGTAAAAATGTCTAAAATCGGGGTACAGCAGTCAACATTGTGTTATAATCACATTCACCATAAAAACAAAGAATTAGTGCCAATCAACTTTTTTTAAAAGAGTTTTGTGCCTTGGAAATAATAATATGGAAAATTGCATTGCAAGTGCTCTCAAGCCTACAAAATATGTGCAATGCTGACCATTGTAACTCTGTTCTTTTATTGATTTTTGTCTCGCCTTGACGAAGTCAAAAAGCGAGACATAGGTATGCTGTATCCGGCTTCAGCGACGACAACGGCGGCGGCGTCAACAATGTATTAGTTTGTGATTAGGTCTAGTTCATGGTGAACCACTAGTGGTAGGTCAATGATATTTGGTATGCAGTTGTATTAGCATTGGCACATCTCATTACCATGGAGATTATTTGGCCCCGCCCCCTCAGTCAAGGTCTATTGACTTTGAAACTTTGCTTAGTTTACATGTATATATTAGTTAGTGATTGGGTCAGTTTATGGGGAACCATTAGTGGTAGGTCAATGATATATGGTATGCAGTTGTATAAGCATTGGCATATCTCATTTCCATGGAGATTATTTGGCCCCACCCCCTCATTCATGGTCTATTGACTTTGAAACTTTTGCTTAGTTTTCATGTTTTAGTTTGAGGGTCAGTTTAAGGGGAACCGTTAGTGGTAGGTCAATGATAATTGGTATGCAGTTGTATAAGCATTAGCACATCTCATTTCCATGGAGAATATTTGGTCCCTACCCCTCAGTCATGGTCTATTGACTTCGAAACTTTTGCTTAGTTTACATGTATTAGTTTGTGATTAGTTCAGTTTAAGATGAACCACTAATGTTAAGTCAATGATATTCGGTATGCAAATGTATTGGCATTTGCAAGCTTCATTTCCATGAAGATTATATAACCCCACCCCCTAATTATGGTTCACTGACTTTGAAACTTTTACATAGTTTCCAATTAATGTTTGTGTTTAGGTTTGTTTAAAGGGAACGACTTATGAAAAGTCAATGGTATTTGGTTTGCAGTTGTATTAGCATTGGCACATCTCATTTCCATGGAGATTGTTAAGCCCTGTACCATCAGTCATGGTTCATTGACTGAATATTTGCATAACTTACATGTTAAAGTATTGCTATTTTAATTTCAACATTTGCATTATCAAAATAACAAATGGGCGAGACATATCTCTGTGTTAACAGTTTATGAAATTATGCTTTATGTTGTTTCTATGTAAAACTTGAAAACCATTGAAAATGCTTTTTAAATTTTAATAAGTTCAATATTGCCATTTTTACTTTTACCTATCAGGATTAAAATGGTCCTTCATTGGTTTGAAAGTTTCACTTTATTTCATTTCTAAGCCATTACTGTTAAACGCCTGATTGAATCGTTTTCAAATTTTGATATGTTGTTTTCTTATAACAAAATTGTTAAAGACTCTTTTTTGATAATTTAACTTTCATGGTTCAAGAGTTATGGCCCTTGATGGCTTTAATTATGACATTGATGAATGTCATGTTGACAGCCTCTTGTTACATTAAGAAATTATTCATTTGATTTTGCCATATTATTTGTATTGATACTCAGGTAAAAAATGGGAAAAAGAAGATCCAGCTGAGCAGATAATGAGTAAGTAAATATATGTAAAGAAACTTTTCTACTAAGATTTGTCCTATACATACTGTTGATTCACAGTGGCGGATCCAGAGGGGGGGGTTGGAACCCCCCCTTTTTTTGGACGATGAATGCATTTGAATGGGACTTATATTTGGAACCCCCCCTGTATCCTGGGTTGGGAACCCCCCCTTTTTAAAATGGCTGGATCCACCCCCTGATTCATAATTTTTTGTGAAATACCAATTTTTTGTGTGGATTTCATGGGTATATGTGAACTCCGGCTTCCAACACCTATAAAACTGACATGATGTAGCCATGAGTGCTCTGAAATGCTGATAAACACTAACAAACAAATAAATAAAGAATGTTATTATTGGGGCTTCGGTGGCTGAGCAGTTTATGTAGTTAAACTTCTATATCACTTAAGCCTGTTAACACTGAGGTTGTGAGTTCCAGCCCTGCATGTGGTAGGTGGATTCAACTACAATTTTAAATGACTAGTTTTCCGACCGAAGGTTGTGGTTCTCTCCGGGCACTCTGGTTTCATCCACCAATAAAAACTTACCAAAAATTAGCAAACAGTGCTGAAAGTGGCTTTTAACACCAACAGTCAATCAATAATTATTAGGAGGATCAGTAAAACTAAAAATAGAATTAATTATCATGCATTAAAAAATTATGTCTTAGTTTGTTCTCATTTCATTTTAGGGCTACTTATCTTCCAAGCTATGGTAAACAAGCATACTGGGAGGTTGGCATGTAGGTTTTGTACAAAAGAATTTTGGTATGAAAAGTATCTTGAGCAGCACCTAAAATTGTCACATCTTGAAGAAAGAACAAGTGTCCAAAAGATTACTGAAAGGGAGTTTGTCAAATATCTTCATGAGATAACGGAAGATTTGTCTAAAGTTTTCAGAGAGCTTGCTCGTGCCCTGGAAGATAAGAATATGCTTGCTGCTACACAGTCCAGAAATTTGAAAAACACCAATATCAAGGTGATTTTATGTAATATAAAATGTACAGACTTGGAGTTACTGATGTATGTTTACACCATTGATGACTGGTTTTGTCAAGCATGCAACAAAAAATTCTCAAGTAAAAATTTGATTGATGAGCTTCAGCATCATGCTTGTGGTAAAAAATTTTCAATACTTTATATACGTCCATCTAAAGTAACCAGGGCTTTTTTATCAAGATCTCTCTTCTCAGTTATCAAGGACTGGTCAGAAAGAGAACTATGTCATTTTAAATCTACTCCATCTGGCACCATGACGGATGATGATAGCACAGATTGTCTTGGAGAAGAAAAAAGTGTTGAGGGAATGGTAAAAAAGTTCAGAAAAGAGTTCTCATCAAAATATAAAGACGAAATACAATATATCAAGAAAATCAAAGAAGTTAGCTGTCCTAATTGTAAAGCAAAAATTAACTTAGATGATTTTAAGAGTCATTCCTGCTTGCCACAAGCTACTGTTCTGTGTTATTGCAATATTTGCAAAATTGGTTTAGGTTCGCATTTGCAATTAAAAGCTCACAATTTTTTCATGCACAAAAACGTTTTGCATCATATATCTTTTCAACAAATACCACCCATAGCTGCCATTAATGCAGAAAGTCAAGGACATGAAGAACCACCCACAGCTGTCAGTAATGCAGAAAGTCAAGGGCACGAAGAACAACCCACAGCTGTCAGTTATGCAGAAAGTCAATGTCATGAAGAACTACCCACAGCTGTCAGTAATGCAGAAAGTCAATGCCATGAAGAACCAGCCACAACTGTCAGTAATGCAGGAAGTCAAGGGCATGAAGAACCACCCACAGCTGTCAGTAATGTAGAAAGTCAAGGCCATGAAGAACAACTCACAGCTGTCAGTAATACAGGAAGTCAAGGCCACAAAGAACCACCCTTAGCTGTCATTAATGCAGAAAGTCAAGGGCACGAAGAACCACCGAGAGCTGCCACTAATACAAAAAGTCAAGGACATGATGAACCACCCACAGCTGTCAGTAATACAGAAAGTCAAGGGCACAAAGAACCACCCACAGCTGCCATTAATACAGAAAGTCAAGGACACGGCAAATTGAATACATGGGAAAATCAAAATACTGAGACTGAACTTCTGCAGGGAAGCGAACAACATAAAGAAAAAGATGACCTTGTACAGCATGTAAAAAATTGGGAGATATCTGGATTAAATCTTCGCATAATCGAATCTATCCTTAGAATAATAGTATTTTATACAGACATAGATATTGCACTTCATTTAGAGCAGTTAGAAACTTTAGAGAAAAAGGCCAATTTTGAGGTTGAAACGAAAGGTACTAGGAACAGTTTTAGAATCAAGCAGAAACGAACGCAAAAATTTAATGCTAAACATTTACAGAAGATTTGTTCTGTACATCTACCGAAGAAAGGAGGGGAAATCAGTAATGCAGTCCAGAAGAAAGGAGAGCATACAGTTGTTGCTTTACCTGTACAGAAGGAAGGTGAGCATACAGTCGATGCTTTACCTTTACAAAAGGAAGGTAAGCATACAGTTGATGCTTTACCTTTACCGAAGGAAGGAGAGCATACAGTTGATGCTTTACCTTTACAGAAGGAAGGAGAGCAAACAGTTGATGCTTTACCTTTACAAAAGGAAAGAGAGCATACAGTTGATGCTTTACCTTTACAAAAGGAAAGAGAGCATACAGTTGATGCTTTACCTTTACAAAAGGAAGGAGAGCAAACAGCTGATGCTTTACCTTTACAAAAGGAAAGAGAGCATACAGTTGATGCTTTATCTTTACAAAAGGAAAGAGAGCATACAGTTGATGCTTTACCTTTACAGAAGAAAAGAAAGCATACTGTAGATACTGTTCATAAACAGAAGAAAGGAAAGCATAATGTTAATGCTGTTCATAAACAGAAGAAAAAAGAGCCTACAATTTACGATGAAGATTTTCTGGCATATTACAATACATGTAATATGTACATGTGTAAATTCTGCGATAAGGGGTTCAGTCACTATGTAAAAATGAAAGATCATATATTTGAAGAACATCCTGATGAAAAAAATCGCTGTAAAATTTGTCAACAGATGTTCCGATCCACTGATCAGTTAAGAAAACATGTTAGAAATACACAACACTATTTGAGATATAAAAAGTCTCCTTCAGAGGAGAAAGAAGCACAGAAGATTTGTTCTGTGCATCTACCAAAGAAAGGAGAGGAAATCAGTAATGCTGTACATTTACAGAAAGAAGGAGAGCATACAGTTGAGGATGAACAATACAATAATATGTACAAGTGTAAATATTGCAATAAAGGGTTCAGTCGCTTTGTAAAAATGATAAATCATGTATCTAAAGACCATCCTGATGAAAAAAAACGCTGTAAAATTTGTCATAAGATGTTTGGTTCCATTGATAAGTTAAGAAGACATGTTAAAAAAACAAAACACTATATAAGAAAAGTTGTTGAAAAAACAAAAAACAATTTGAGACAAAAAAAATCTCAGGAAGAAAAGGAACATATGTGTGAATACTGTGGAGAGACATTCTATTCATGGAGTATTCTTAATTACCATATTAAAAATTATCATTTAGGTGATAAAGACAAAAAACCTCGACATGAGTGTGTTCTTTGTGGGAAAGTTTTTGTATCGGTGGCTGAGTTTGCTTCTCATCGTAAGAACGATCACTCAAGGGAGTGTAAGATATGTCTCAAAGTCTTTTGCAGTGTGAGACATCTTGAAAGACACCATAAACTGAAGCATTCTCAAAAACATTTTAAATGTCCGAAGTGCTGGAGGACTTATGCTTTTAATTACTTGCTTCAAATGCATATCAAATTCATTCATGAGGATTACAAACCCTATAGTTGTGATATCTGTGACTACAAATGCTATATGAAGAATGCCATTGTTTCACATATGAAAAACAATCACTAAGGTTTTACTGAATAATTCGTATATTAGGGAGCTACCGTTTGATTTTTTTTTTTTTGGGGGGGGGGGAACTAGGATGAAAAATTTTGTCCTGCATTTTTACTTTTTACTCTATTCCTGCATTTTTTTTATTAGTTTATCCTGACTTTTTTACATTTTTTTTTACTCAAAACTCATGTCCTGCCTTTTTTTTCAAATTTCATCCTAGCCCCCCCCCCCTCCCATAAAAATCAAATGGTAGCTCCCTTATGTATCATTAAGGATGTACTTAGGTATAATTAAAAAAATCAGGAATTTAAAATTGACACTGTAAATGAGAAGAGCATTATTTAAGGAACAAAATAAGTTAAAGATGTTGATAGGTTATGGAGCTCCTTTTCAAGATATTTTGAATGGTGGGTAAAGGCTGACCCTTATATTTGCATTGGTATTATTTGGGTCTCAAAGCGAAAGATAAGAAATCTATAATCTCTTAAATTTTGGTAAATGAATTTTTATGAGCTAATGAAGTCTTTTATGAAAAGAAAAATGGGTGTTAAGGGGCAAAATATTTTACCCTGTATCGTAGGAAAAAAACCAAGGAGTCAGAATATCTGACAAAAATTCCTGAATTTGACTTAAAACACAAGATTTAGTTTTTAGGTCACCTTTCCAAAGGCCATATGAGCTTTTATCAGAGCTTACCAGTCATTCTTGGTTAAACATGTTAAAGATTCTTTTGCTCTTTTTAACCATTGGATCAATTGGGATATATCTTCTTTTTCATTGGTCCTCAATGGTCACTTAAAATTTTGAATCTATTTCACCACAAAAAAAATACCATATAACATAAACAAATAAGAGAGTCTGCAAGGGGTTTACAGAAAAGAGAATAAGGGCCAAAAAAATTAGCGAATATAGAAAAATGAGCAAAAAAAAAAAGATCAAGAGAATAAAGGGCGGCAAAAGTATATAATAATTGTGGAAAATTAACGAATTAGGTTTTACAATACTGCCTCCAGAAATGAACTATGTATAGAATAAAGAAATCATGTAAGTTCCGATAAATCTTATAGTAAGATAATTTTCATGAGAATTTTACAGCATCTGTGTTATTTTTATAGATAAACATAAAGCCCACAAGAATTAAAGAATAAAGACATGAAGGACCCCCATCCAGACCCTCATATAATGACTAACTATTATTAGAACATATAAGTAAAACAGCCAAAAAGTTAAATTTTTTTTTATATTTACCTGATTGTGCAATAAGAAGGTATTTAAGAACATTTTACACTCAAGTTGATCTACTATATTTTTTACCAAATAAGACGCATAGAATTTATAAAAATTCAGTCTCTCAGACATTTTTATCAGATTATTGAACTGATACTTTGTATATACTGTGGATTTATTTAATTTGGTGGGTGCCAACTTGCGTTAATTGAGGAAAATTTTTATTTCAATCATCAATATTTGATATTGTGGTTTTGCCAAAGTCTGTATATAAACCAACAGTTACTCAGGTGAACATTTAAATTTGTGGTAAAACCTTTACCAATGAAATCCATAGAAGTTGGTATCCAACGAGTAATAATAAATCTACCATACTGAAACCTCAGAAATGAATGCAGTACTGCTACTTTTTAACATACAACTTTATCTTATACTACTGTAGACCAACTTATTTCGGGGATACTTTTTTATTTCTATTTTGCGTTGAACCATTCGTAGCCGACTTGGCTGCAATTCATTTTCACGATTTATTAATTTTCTTGATGTATTTATATAAGGGAAGATAAAAGTTTAACAAATTCGCTACAATTTATATTCATGTTATCTTTCAAGTACTAGTAACCAAAATCAGTCGGTTTACAGTATTTGTATTATACATTTATTTGGTTTTCTTTTGATTTTGTAGTTCTTACCGATACTGTTTACATTTCCAAATGATGCAACCTATATTAAAGTTGTATGATTTTTTTAAAGTATGATTTTAATTTAGGGAAATTAATATTGATTAAGGACTAGTAGCATTTGAAGTTCTATACTAGGGCAAATTCTTTGCTAAATATTTTTTCTCATGATGATACTATATAAAACATATGACAATGTATAAATCTCTTAAACAAAATAAAAGAGTGATATTTCATTATTTGTTTGTTCTCCAACCTAATTGGGAAAAGATGTAGCCTTTGATCAGATGCTATGTTTATAGATTCATTAACAAAACAGTTGCAACAAGTGGAACAGGAGCTGCTCTCTGTTCAGATCCCATTAGTTCACCCTAAATATTTGGTCTGGTTTGGATTGCTCAATCTTCAGCTTTGGCTAGTTTTCTGTGTACTGTTTGTGTTGACTGTATATACTTTTTCCATGTCTGTTTTTCTTTTTTTATGCTCACCTGTTTTAATACCCCCGCCAGGTTGCATTAAGTGTTATCCTTGTCCGTCCATTCGTCTGTACGTTCAAAAATTAATTTCCATTCCCTAACTCAAGTTTGCTTCTACCAAATGTTATGAAACTTATACACTATGCTAATTACCATAAAACACAGATCAAGTTCGAATTTGGATGGCGTCACTTTTACAGTGCTCTAGTTAATTGTCCCTTTATAACATTAAATGCAAGAGGGGGCCGGCATCATCTGTGTCCCATGGGCACATTCTCCATTTATTTTTATGCCCCAACTACAATAGTAGAGGGGCATTATGTTTTTCGGTCTGTGCGTCCGTTCGTCCGTCTTTTTGGTCGAGGTAGTTTTTGATGAAGTTGAAGTCCAATCAACTTGAAACTTAGTACACATGTTCCCTAAGATGTGATCTTTCTAATTTTAATGTTAAATTAAGAGTTTTGACCCCAATTTCACGGTCCACTGAAAATGATAGTGCGAGTGGGGCATCCATGTACTATGGACACATCCTTGTTTTTATATATATTTGACTATTCTAATTTTCGAGGTTTTGCCTATTATCTCATAAACTATAATAATAGATAAAACTTTGGAGGGGGGCTAGGATGAAATTTGAAAAAAGGCAGGATGAGTAACTTGGCAAAAAAAAAGGCAGGATGACAATTTATGTAAAAAAAGTCAGGATAAACTAATAAAAAAGGCAGGACCGAATAGAGTGAAATATAAAAAGGCAGGACAGAGATTACAACAAAAAAATGCAGGACAAATTTTTCATCCTAGCCCCTCCCAATAAAAATCAAATGGTAGCTCCCTTATAGCCCTTGAATGACAATTTTATCTATTAACTCAAAAACTATTATAGATAGGTAGAATCTGTCAAAAGCAAAATTGAGGTATTGCCCCGTAATGATCATTTTTGTCGAGCCTGTGACTTCTGTCACAGAAAGCTCATCATAGGGATAGTGATCCGGCGGCAGCGTTAACAAACATCTTAAAAGCTTAAAATTTCAGAAGGTAGAAGACCTGGATCCTTCATACTTTGTATATAGATACCTTATGTTATGAAGTTTACGTCTGTTATATGTCCATTGTCCTTGACCTCATTTTCATGGTTCAGTGACTACTTGAAAAAAAAGTTAAGATTTTTAGGATTCTTAATTTCTCTCTTATTATGAGTAATATGATAACTATATTTGGTATGTGCGTACCTTGCAAGGTCCTTGTGCCTGTCAGACAGTTTTCACTTGACCTCAACCTCATTTCATTGATCAGTGGTCAAGTCCAAATCTCAGATACTATAAGCAATAGGTCTACTATATTTGGTGTATGGAATGATTGTAAGGTGTACATGTCCAACCGGTAGATGTCATCTGACCTTGACCTCATTTTCATGGTTCAGTGGTTAAAGTTAAGTTTTTGTTTTTTGGTCTTTTTTTCTAATACTATAAGCAATAGGTCAACTATATTTGATGTATGGAATGGTTGTAAGGGAGCTACCATTTGATGTTTATGGGGGTCTAGGATGAAATTTGAAGAAAAAAAGGCAGGACAGTAGTTTTGAGTTAAAAAAAAAAGGCAGGATGAGCAACTTCTCAAAAAAAAAGGCAGGATGAGCAACTTCTCAAAAAAAAAGGCAGGATAAACTAATAAAAAAAAGGCAGGAACTAATAGAAACAGGACAAGAGATTACAACTAAAAAAAAATGCAGGACAAAATTTTTCATCACAGCAACCCCCCCCTAAAAATCAAATAGTAGCTTCCTCAAGTGTATATGTCTGTCTGGCAATTATCATCTGACCATGACCTCATTGGTCAATCTTAATTTTTCCTGGTTATGTTTGTTTCTTAGATACTATATGCAATAGGTCAACTATACTTAAAGCATGTAATGATTGTAAAGTGTACATGTCAGTCTGGCAGGGTTCACCGGACCTTGACCTCATTTTCATGGTTCATTGATCATGTTAAGTTTTCCTGGTTAAGTTTGTTTCTTAGATGTGCAATAGGTCAAGTATATTTAAAGCATATTTGGTGTATGGAATAATTGTAAAGTGTACATGTATTTCCAGTTTGGTTTCTCTGACCTTGACCTCATTTTCTTGGATCATGTTAAATTTATGTGACAGTTGCAGTAAAGCTTTATATTTAGGACTATCAACATAAAATCAATGGTAAGAAAAGAAGGAGAGACATTTCGGCGTGTGCACTGACTCTTGTTACAAATTTTTGCAAAAAAAAAGATGGTGGATAAATAAAAAGTGACAACAGCAAAAAAGATCAGCAAGACAAGACATACAAATAGTTCAACATAGCCGAAATTTTTATGTGACTTCTTTAAGGATTTATTGCGCTTAAATGATGATTTTACCCTTTTTCATTTTGGAGCAAATTACACAGATGATAGAAAGACACTGTAATCAATAAAAATGATCATCAAGCAGATCAGTACTTCATGGATAAGACCCTTCTAGTGTTTGTCTTGACTCCGGAGATGGGAGACAATCTGGTGGCTGCGTAAACTATTATAGCTTTATGTTTCAGACGATAGAAGACCTGTATCCTTCGTATCTTGTATGATCTTTGTATATAGATGCCTTAATTTTGTAACGAAGTTTCGAAGTTTCCGTATGTCATATGACAATTGTCTGTGACCTCATATTCATGGTTTTAATTTTGTTTAATGTTAAGTTTTTGTATTTTGGTCGGTTTCTCAGATACTGTATTCAATAGGCCAACGATATTTTTTTGTTTGGAATGATTGTAAGGTGTAAATGTCTGTCTGGCAAGTATCATCTGACCTTGACCTCGTTTTCATTACACATTGGTAAATGTTAAGTTTACGTCGTTTGGTCCTTCTCAGATACTATAATCAATAAGCCAACTATATTTGGTGTATGGAATAATTGTAAGTTCCACATCTCTGGCTGGCAGGTATTATATGACCTTGACCTCATTTTACGGTTCATTGAACAATGTCGAGCTTTAGGGGTCTGTTTTCTTTAAGGAATAAGTTTAATAATTTTAGTGTATGGAATAATGGTATATGTGGGTCTGGCAGGGTTAATCAGACCTTGACCTGATTGATAATGATATGAATTGTGACTTTTTGTCTTGTTATGGTTTATCTCTCTAAGTTTGGTTTGTTATTTGTTGTCCTGTGACTTTCTGTCCGATGTTTTAAATGAACACGCGTATATACTGTTGATCCAGTAGAGGTAATTACTACAGTTGGTTTTTGGTGGGGTTCGTGTTGCTCAGTCTTTAGTTTTCTATGTTGTGTTTTGTATACTGTTGTTTGTCTTTTCGTCGTTTTTCATTTTTTCACCATGGAATTGTCAGTTTCGTTTTCGAATTAGGAGTTTGAATATCCGTTTGATATCTTACGCCTCTCTTTCACACAAGAAAGCCTCCGGATTCAACCGCATCACATGCTTTATATTTCACTTCATATACATACACATAATCATATAGTGCTTAATATTGTTGTAAATGATGCCCTTTATGGGTTCTTGATTAGATTAATAAAATTCTTATCTTATCTTATCTTATCTTATACAAAACAACATGCAATACTTTGTCCTTATTCATACCGCTGAAACCTAAGTGTAATTTCAGATTTGACCGATTTAAGTAGTAATGTTATTTAGGTTTTTCCATATATTGTATGTGCAATACGATAATATTGTACTTTTGTAAACAAACTGAATCATGATTTTCTACATATATTTATAACTTTTTTACAATGACTTATTTTTGTTGATTATTTCATATTTTTCGATAAAGGTTATGATATTTTAGTAAAAGACCAATTATTCAGTTGTCTGTTTTTTTTTCAAAATTAATCTATTACAATGTATTTCAATGATCATTTTAAACATAAAACGGTACCAATTTTGCATGTTACCACTTGTATCATCGGTCGATTAGAGTTGTCTCGCTTTGATTACCTTAGCTGTATTTGGCAAAACTTTTAGAGATTTTTGGTCCTCAATGCTCTTCAACTTCGTACTTTATTTGGCCTTTTTAAATTTTTTTTATTCGAGCGTCACTGGTGAGTCTTTTGTAGACGAAACGCGCGTCTGGCGTAAATACAAAATCTTCAATCCTGGTATCTATGGTTATAAAATTGAGAATGGAAATGGGGAATGTGTCAAAGAGACAACAACCCGACCATAGAGCAGACAACAGCTTAGTTTATTTTCCTTTTAATACTTAAGTAGTTTCTTGCTTCGCGATTTTAGCTTTAAATATATTATACCTACAAATGTTTGCCAGAGCGACATACTATTATATAATGTAAACAAATGTTTGCCAGAGCGACATACTATTATATAATGTAATGCCTATCATTTTCTATATGTTTCATTCGCAGTAAAGTTGTTGAAACCTGGTGGAATTTGATATGAAAAGTATAAATAATATTTTAACAATTAACATATATCTATCAGTAAAAATATTCTGTCGAAGCACGGAGACCATTTTGTGGTACTATTGCAAGATTCAAAAAATTATCTGGTTTGAAATATTTAAATTATTTTTGAAATAATACCTGTCCATTTTCACAAGGGGTCTCGGTGGCCGAGTGGTCTAAGTAGTTACTACTGTAATCACTAGCCAGTCAACACTGAGGTTGTGAGTTCGAACCCCGCTGTTGCGGATGCATTCGACTCCAATCTTAATTGACTAGGATTGTCAGTTTTCCTATCGAAGGTCGGTGGTTTTCTCCGGGCACTCCGGCT